CCTGCTGACACTTAGAGAATAGAGATCTGGGATTCTTGAGGGCGACCTGCTGACACTTAGAGAATAGAGATCTGGGATTCTTAGACACACCCCAAAGCAAAAACATTCCTAGGCCCCAAATACCAACAGTGGTCAAATTGGCATAGCCTAATTGGTTTCCCATTATCAGAACTAGAGATAGAGATTTTTAGATACAGGATCCCAAAGATCCCAGCTCACACCAGGACTGGAAAATGATCCACCTGTGAGACACACACACACACACACACACACACACACCCAAGCTCAAAGTCAGATCGGACAGTCGAGGCCCTCTGGGGCAGCTGGCAGGGTGTGAAATCACCCTTGTCCCTGTGACTTCACAGGCCTCCTGTGTTCTGGGCACAGCACGCTCCTGCCAGGCGGTTAATTACCTCCCTCTCCTTAGGAAGACAGCAAGGCAGGGGAAGTACTCACAGCACCCATGAGTGCCAGCCCGGAACCTATGTTGATGACTGTGGGGATGATGTTGAATTTCCCTGCCTGCAAGACAGAAACAGCCAGGTGAGTAAGGCGGGGTGGGCAGCTGGGCCTCCAGGAGCTCCCCAACCTACCTGACCCAGCAACTGCCAGGCATTGCAATGGGAAGAAGATCCACTGACCTTGCCATTAACTATCACATCAAAGCGGATGCCATAGGCTTTCATTAGGTCTCGGAACTCTACCCCATTAGGGTCACGGTAATACCTGGCAAACCTGGGGAGACAGACGGTGTCCAGACCTGCTCACTGAGGCAAGCACAAAGACAAGGCTTTCCCAGCATGCTTAGAGCCATCCCCTGAACCATGCAAACACTGGTGGACTGGACCCAGACTGGTACAGAACACAGTCAAGGTCACCAGGAGCGCAGACATGGTAGTTACCTGAAGTTGTACCCAGAGGAGACAGATTTTGTTTGTTTGTTGTCCAGACGGTTGAAATAATAGTGTGGATTACAGTTAGAGGCAGCTTTATCAAGGTCACAGTCCCATTCGATATGGATTCCTATTACACCACCCTTGACACAAGAGACAGGCTGAACGTTAGAGTTATCTGTAGATGGACAGAAGTCACAGGGGGGTCCTTTCTGAAAGCCAGACAAGTGGGCCAGAGGTCTGGCATGACCACACTTTACACACAAATTAGCATGTGTCCATGGAGTTCCTTTCAACTGTTTCTGATGATGCCCTGGGTTCAGAAAACTGCCTAGCAGGTGCCAAATCAGCCCCCCCCCCCCCCCCCCAACACCAACTGAGTGCCTGACACAGCCAATCCTGACAATAGAGAGCTGAGGACAGGGACAACCAGGATCGCCCTGCCCCTCCCCCACCCTCACCTTCTCACTGCAGAGTCCAGGTCCCCAGGAGGGCTTCCTGAGCACACGCTACCCACCTTCAGAGCTATGTCTTGGAAATCAGCCCCTGCCCAGCGGACAATGGACCCCAGCCGGAAGATGGGACAGTAGAGGTTGTTGGGGCTGAAGCGACAGGTCTTCAGGAAATTTCTGTTGTCTGTTTCTAGCACGTTGGCTCTGAGAGGAAGCCGTGACAAGAGGTGAGAGACTTGGTTGCTGGCCCAGACAATGGGTCCTCTGCCAGATGTGACCTTTCCCCAGCTTGTATCTTATTCCCTTCAAGAACAGAGACCACCTCCAAGCAGAGGAAAGGACGCCTCTGCTCGTTTGTCATTTCACACCACGCAGAGCTTGAGCACAGACGGCCACAGGGAGGGCCCTCAACCCCACTCCTTGTCCAGTAGCCAAGCCCCAACATACTTGGAGAAGTTGAACTTGGGGAAGCGAATGTAGTTCTTTATGAAGATGGTGAAGCCTTCAGCGTCCTTTAGGAGGGGCTCCCTGAAAGCCAGGCCAGACAGTCTGAACAGGAGACCTGCCCCTCCCCCATGACTCCCTCAGACCTGCGGAGTAGGGAGGCCCACGAGACTGTGCAGGCAACTCCTTTGGGACCACAAGCCACAGGCACTCACGTTGGCATGGACATTGTCTCTACTGGGCACCAGGCGAAGATCTCACAAGTGCCCCGGGTAGCATTGTTCTCCAGCCGCAGACACCGGCCAGTTTTCAGCCCTGCAAAGAGGAACAGGGGCAGTGTCCTGGACCTTCCTGTTCACCTACCTTTGCTGCTCCAGACCCAGCCACTCAAGGCCCTCACCGTGTCCAGCTACAACAGACTCCCCGGCTTGGCAGTCAGTGTCCTCAGAGCACTCACCGTCAGGGATGCCTTCACGCTGCAAGGAGAGAAAGGTGTCTGCATGGGTGCCCCCAGCCCAAGACCAGGGTCCCTCAGAGAGAGAAGAGGGCTTCTTCCCTGGCCTGAAGCCATGGGCCCTTTCAAAACCTGTTTCTCAGAAGATGACAATCAGCCACTCTTGATGAGATCTGATAGACTAAGATCAGACAGAAGGAGAGGAGGACCTCCCCTATCAGTGGACTTGGGGAGGGGCATGCCTGAAGAAGGGGGAGGGAAGGTGGGATCGGGAAGGGAGGAGGGAGGGGCTCTTGGGAAAATACAAAGTGAATAAAGTGTAATTAATAAAGAATAAATAAAAATAAAAAATAAAAACCTGTTTCTCAGGCTGGAAAAGTGACTAGGTAGTTGCAAACATCTGCCCCAAAAGCTTGACATCCGGAGTTTAGTCGCCGAAAGCCATAAGCGCATGCACTCGTATGAGCCCACACACACACACACATGCACACACGCACAGGCATATGAACATACATGCACACACATGCACAGGCACACACACACACACACAAATGTAAAACTTAAAAAATATATATGAAAACCCATTTCTCCCCCAAGGTACTCGGGTAGCATGCAGTGGTTACACAGCGCTTTGGCAACCTTGAAGCAAACCCTCTTTCAGGAGGACTGTCACCACAACTGGGGCTGCCCCACCCTCCCCAGCACACACGCCAAGTCAAACCTCAGCACAGATGCCCTGCCGCTGGCTAGGAGTCACGATCAGGTTGGTGACCACGAAGAAAACGTTCTCCCCCTGAGGAGGCAGACAGAGTTTGAGGAATCTCCTCCTGGCCCCTCAGGAAGACTCCGCCTGGTAGAAAGTGGACCTCTGCACGGGGCTGGGAACAGCGGGAGCCATAAAACTGGTGGTCACAGTCCATCGGTCTGATGAGCCCAACACTTTCCTTTCATGGGCAGTTCACAGCTTTGCCTACCCGAGCACTTCCATCCCAGCCCTCAGCCCTGGCTCCACAGCTGTGAACAAGCCGGGGAGTTATCCCCAAAGGCACCGCAATGTAAGGGAGGGGTTCTCTGTGCCAGGTCACTCTAGGCCCCACATGGTCTCAACTGACACCTAGACCAGGCCTGGTGCTGAAAAGGAGACAGGGACACCAAGGGGGATAGGGCCTAGCCAGGGTTGCTGTCGGTATCTTGAGCCAGGGAGATGAAGAGTTCACTGGGGTACTTCCCATGTGCCCCCCAAGCCACCCCCCTCAGCAGAGGGGCCCAGAGACAGGCAGTAGTCTGACCTGAGACGGGATGACAAAGTCGGCTACGTCCCACAGCCGTTCCCCAAGCATCGTGGTGTTGGTATAGGCCACCCCTTTGACCTTGGTGACCACAGCACTCTGCAGGGAAGTGTCAATGTCCTGATAACTCTTCTTTATCAGAAACACCCATCTGTAGAAATAGAGCAACAGGCGAGCACCAGTCACGGAGCTCAGGCTGGAGGGAGGACCATATTAAGTCCTAGGCCAGTAGGAACACGCACCTAGGAGTCCACCTGTCCCACAAGCATGCGCCATGCTTGCAAGATGCTAAAGCAGGAAGATGGATGGCTGAAGGCCATCCTGGGCTACAGGGCGAGAGGCTAGGTTTTACTGAAAATCTAAGGCTTAGTGGTTAGGAGCACCTATAGATCTTGCAGAGGATTCATCTCTATTCCAGGCTCCCACAGAGTAGTTCACAAGTATCTGTAACTCTAGTCCCAGTTCTGACCTCCTCAGAGCACACACATGGTACACAAACACACATGCAGGCAAAACATTCACACACATAAAATAATAAAATTAGTCAAGCTAAAAAAGAAAGAAATTGCTGGGTGCGGTGGCACACACCTTTGATCCCAGCACTGGGGAGGCAGAGGCAGGTGGGTCTCTGTGAGTTTGAGGCCTGCCTGGTCTACAGAGTGAGTTCCAGGACAGCCAGGGCTACATAACAAGATCCTGTCTCAAAATACAAATAAATAAATAATAAAAAAGAAAAAGAAAAAAAGAAATCTGAGGGTAGAGGTGTTGCCTAGCAGGTATAAGGCCTTGGGTTTTGTGCAGTAAACAAGAAAATAAATAAAAATGAATGAAATCTTGTATTCTTTTATACTGAAAACCCGAGCAGGGCCAGCAAGATGGATCGGTGGATAAGAGCACCAGCCTCTAAGGCTGCTATTATGAGTCTAATCCATCCGCATGACGGAAGGTGAGAACAGACTGCCACATGTGTGCCATGCTTACCCATACTCATATATAATGCACGAAAAATCTAAAGGGCTGACGAGAGTGCCCAGTGGGTAGCAGCACTTACTGCTCTTTGAGAGGACCTGAGTTCAGTTCCCAGCATCCGAAGCAGCTTGCTGGAGCCACTGTAACTAACTCAGGTCCAGGGGTCTGTCACCTTCTGGCCTCCAGGAGCACCTAAACACGGTGCACAAAAACTTACACAGACTCACACGCATAAATAAAAATAATGAAAAAAAAGTGCCAGACAGTGATAGCACAGGCCTTAATTCCAGCACTGGGGAGGCAGAGGCAGGCGGATCTCTGTGAGTTCCAGGCCAGCCTGGTCAACAGAGCAAGTTCCAGGAAAGTCAGGGCTACACAGAGAAACCATGTCTTGTAAAACAAAAACAAAACAAAATGAAAACATAACCAACAAAAACAAACAAACAAACAAAGTTTGGTCTCCTTAAATTGAAAATGTTTGCCTAGGACACTATCATGACAGTGTAGCTCAGGCTGGCCTCAAACTAACAGCAATCCTCCTACCTCAGCCTTGAGAGTGCTAGAATTATAGGTGTGTGCTGGCCATCACACCTTTCTAAAAGGAAACAAATGCTTAAAATGTGTGTGTGTGTGTGTGTGTGTGTGTGTGTGTGTGTGTGTGTCTGTGTGTGTGTGTGTGTGTGTGTGTGTGTGTGTGTGTGTCGGGTCCCCTGGAGGATCAGCGGCTGCAAGCCAGTCAGCTGGGAACTGAACTCTGAAAGAACAGCAAGCACTCCTAACCACCCAGACATCCTTCCAGCCCCTAAAAAGATAGACTTTAAAACAAGACGGCCCATGTCAAACACCAGGCTCCATGCACACAACTCACCAGCTTATCCTAGTCAGCTATCAGCCAGCTTCCCCACTCTTGGGGAGGCTGGGGAAACAAGGAAGAAGCCAGTGCCGTGTAAAGCAGTGAGTGGCAGGTACGCTGGGGCTCCAGGGAGCCTGAAGGTGTCAACCAACAGGTGGCCATTTCCTCACTTTGGGGGCAGAGTTGAGAGCCTGGACCATAAACCATCACATTTTCAAGGAACTCTGAGGAAGTTGTAATTCTTTTTATTTATTTTTTATTTGTTTGTTTTTGGTTTTTTGTTGTTGTTTGTGTTTTGAGACAGGGTTTCTCTGTGTAGCCTTGGCTGTCCTGGACTTGCTCTGTAGACCAGGCTGGCCTCGAACTCACAGAGATCCACCTGTCTCTGCCTCCTGATTGCTGGGATTAAAGGCATGCTTGAAAAGTTGTGATTCTTGAGCAAACCTTCCATTTTTAGCAGAGAAAAGCTAGGCCTGGTCCAATTAAAAACAGAAAGCAAATATTCAACATTCATTTATTCCTTTCATACCTATCCTATTCCCCAGTAAAATAGCATCAGGCCCTCTCATCATGGTATCCCCAGACTGCAGACGGGGACACTGAGCAAATGGCCGATCAAATCGGCTTATGGAAATCCAGGGAGTGAGGGAGAGACAGTCACTGGAGACCACACCTGGACTGACGCTAACGAGTAGGAGAAGGAAAAACCGTGGCGGATGAGGAGGAACCGCAGCGGCTGAGGAACAGCAGTTCAAAGGCCCCGAGGTGGGACCCTGCCGAGTGCCTTAAAGCTAAAATTCAGGAAAGGATAAGAATGCAGCCATTATCCACATCTGCAATGCCAGCACTCTGGAGGCACAGGCAGGTGGATCTCTGAGTTGGAGGCCAGCCTGCTCTACACAGTGAATTCGAGGACAGCCAGGGCTACACAGAGAAACCACGTCTGGGGGTGGGGTTGGTGGAAGCAGCCATCAGAAGGCAGCAAGGCTAGGTCAGGACTGCCCTCCCAGGAGCAATAATTGTGCTCCATTTAAGGAGGGAAAGAAAGTGAGTTGCCGCTGCCCACAGCGGCCGTCTCTTCCACCTGTGCCCTCTCCTCCTAGGAGCAAGGCCTAGCTGTTAAACCTCAAACAAGCCGCCCGTGGGCTGTGGGCGCACGGCCTCCTGCTAGGTGAGCTGGTAACAAGAGGGCAGTAGAGCAGCTGGACACTGGCGAGGCTGCCCGTGTTTCCCCGTGAGCTAACCCTGAGTTCCAGAACATGCCAATCTGATGAGTTGGCCCAGCCAAGTGCAAGCCAGTAGTGCTCAATGCTTATAAATAACCTGCTGGGTGCCTGGGCCAGCTGTCAGGCCAGAGCCAGGGAGGCCTTTGGGACAGCTGGAGCCCAGTGCCCAGGCATCCTTGCCTGCTGGTCATGGCTGTAAAACTGGGAGCTCCGGTCCTGGGAGAAGGGCTGCCTACAGACAGCTTCAAACCAAGGAATCCAGTCACCCCACGTTTCACAAGGCACAGAGTGTCCCTTTTTCAGTTTCCCAACCCTACATCCAAGGTTCCTTGAGGGCCGACTCCCTGAGGCCCTTGTGTCTACACCTCCCCCCCCTCCCCCGGCTTCAAAAGACCAGGGGCCAAGAACTCACATGAGCAAGTACAGCAGGATGGTGAGCTGCAGCACCCGGTAGAGCAGCCCCACCTTCTTGCTCTTGGCGACAACGAACTTTGCAGTCTTGTAGTCGAACAGCGACAGGACGAACCCCTTCCAGGCTGCCTGGCCCATGCCGCCAGCTCACTCCGGCCCCCACCGCCTCCAGACACCTCCCAAAGCCACTCCGCGTGCGCTGCCGCAGTCCTGGGACTCCACAGAGCTCGAGCCAGAGAGCTGGTGCGCAGACCCGGACGCGAGCTCCGGCCGCCGGGACTGCGGGACTGCGGGACTGCGGGACTGCGCGCGGGAGCGCAGCCGGGACGCGGCCGCCTCCGCTGACACAGTGACACCACACCGCCTGGCTGTGCCTCCAGCCACTGGCCGGCAAGGACGCGCCCTGAACGCGGAGGCGAGCAAGGAGGGAAGGTGCTTTCCAAGGCGTCTTCCCCGCCCCTACCTCCGCCCACAGGACTCGCTCGAAGGAAACCCGGTGGGGAAACAGAGGCAGGGTTCAGGTGGGACCCACATAGAGACAGCTACTAGTCAGGACTGGTTTCCAACTGCCCTGGCCTCGCTTCTCGGGCTATTAGACAGGCTTGTAGGTCTGTGGCCGCCTGTGTCTGCTGAAATCAAGGGGACGGACGTTTCCACCACTTCTACGGCTGGCAGCGGCGTTTAAACCCTGCAAGTCCCTGGAGTCAGGCATCAGCGGTCCCAGTCAGGTATAGAGACAAATCACCAAGGCTTGGGACCCTAAAACATGCCTAGAAACAGAATAGTCCCCAAAGAAAGATGAACCCAAAGCCATCCTCTTAGGCAGAACCCCAAGGTGGGGGAGGAGGAACCTGGGACAGGTTGCCTGGTGAAGGGCTGAGGATGGGAGGCTTCTGGGGTGGGGTCTCCATGCAGTGAGAGGCTGTGTGGTGAGAAACTACAGGGCTGGTGTGCGTGGTGAGGGGCTGTGCACGTGCTGAGGGTTTTGGGCGTGGTGATGGTCTGTGTGCCAGGGGCTGAGGGGAAGAGCTGTGCACACTGATTTTCTGCACCTGTGTCTGAGCGCGCCACCCCTGCTCCTGGCCCTGGCCTGCCCCAGCCCTATGGGAAGCTCACTCTAAACTAAAGAATCTAGAAGTTCGAAGGGACCCTGAAGTCCACCAGGTGTGATCTCCCAAAACAAAAGTCCCAGGGAAAAGGTCCCCGATTTTGCAACCGGATGGAATGACTATTAAAAAAAAAAAAAGGAAGCCGGGTGTGATGGATGGTGGGTGCACACCTGTGATCCCAGCATTTGGGAGGCAGAGGCAGGATCTCTGTGAGTTCGAGGCCAGCCTGGTCTACAAAGTGAGTCCAGAACAGCCAAGGCTACACAGAGAAACCCTGTCTCAAAAAAAAAAAAAAAAAAAAAAAAAATTCAAATTCCTGGGCTTTGCCTTTGGATTTCCCATTTATTTTAAGAAGGGGTGTAGAACTATGCATTTTGTTCTTAAAGTGTCATTTGGAAACCATGCATTGTTATAACTTTTCAAGCTCAACCTGACCAGGTAAAAGGCTTTTTTTCATACATCCAAAGTAATTCCCACCCCCACTCCAATCATTTCTGTCCCATGATCCCAGCTTAGTCCCACAGAGTACTTTTTTGTTTTTGTTTTTGGCTTGTTTTTGGTTTTTTTGAGACAGGTTGCCCTGGCTGGCCTGGCATGCTCAGAGATCCGAGTGCTGACTAAAGGCCCCTCTGCCAGGCTAAGCACCCTTAATACCTAGGATGATCCCACTGATTTGTTTATTTGTCTCTCAACAAGACCAGCATCTCTAAGAGGATGGGAGCCTTGCTCTGGATAACCCTGTCCCCACAGCAAACATGCCTGCCACATGTTGGTTCTATATCTTTATCAACTGCCTAAACAGGCCTGCTTTCTTTTAAGCATATTGGACCTGCCGCTCTGTCATGGCCCTGGAAGCAAAAGCCATCCTATCTTCTGCCAGCCTACACTTCAGTCCTCTCCTGACATGGCCAGTCAAAAGCTGAGGAGGAGGCAGTCACAATGGCGGCATCTCACGCCCCTGAAGAGGCCTACCACTAAAATTCTGCTCCATCACAAGGTGGTGAAGAGGGAAGGTAGGCGTTCTGGGCTGGAGGGCTGGAGAACTGGCGGGAATCCCTGAGACATCTAACCCTGAGAAATACTTGTCTAGAAAGGATCCCATATCCCACAGTGCAGCGGCCTGAGATGTCAAGATGGTGTCATAGAAACAGGGGCTTCATGTCCGAAAAGCTTGTCCTGAACTTGTAAGATGAAAGCTTCATCTGAGGCAGTGACTGCCTAAAAATCACCCTCAGAGAGAAAGAATAGGTGCTTTTCTTCCTGCTGCTGAGGAGGCAGCAAAGTATACAGCCTTCTGAGCACGTCAGTGTCAAGTGATGCCCTGCACTTGGGTTAAAAAGACTAAAGACCAACCAAACCTTTCTGAGGAGATGACTTTCCTCCTTCTTGTGTTAGCTGTGGTCTTTGGGACAGCGTATGGCTTCTCTCTGCAACCCCAGTGCTGAGGGTGGGCAGAAAGAGACAAATCTTGGGCAGCTGAGATAGCTCAAGGTTTATTGAGAGAGACTGTCTCCAAGAATAAGTAGAGAGCAATCAAGGAAGATGCCGAGGTCCACCTCTGACCTCCATATGCCTGCACACACACACACATACACACACACACACACACACACACAAGTGCACCTGCATATACACGCGTGTATGTATATGTACACATGCACACACACATGCACACACACACAAGAGAGAGATACCCTGGTGTGTAATAAGGCCTCAAGACACAGAGCAGAGCCCACTAAATTGGGTTCAGTAATAGAAGTATTTGAGGACAGCATCCCACTACGTAGTCCAAGCCAGCCCCAAACTTGTGATCCTCCTGCCTCGGCTTCCCCAGCGCCAGGATTTCAGGCACGCAGCCGCACATGCTTGCACCTGCAGCTTCGATTCTTTCTCAAACCTTTGCTGTCAATGTCCTGACGGGAAGGCATTCTAAAGAGACGCTTGTGCCCTCCTTAGACTGTCCAGACGACTGACACCGGTTCCCAAGGCATCGTCCCGGGGTCTCACTCCAGGAGAAAGGAGGCCTAGTGCTGCTAGAGGTGTCTTCCAGGAAGAGATCTCACAGTCTGACAACTTCTCAGGCTGCTGACAGAGTCAGCTAAGACTGGTGGAGGGCAGGGCCACGCGTACCTCCACCTTCTTCAAACCTCATACAGAGCAATGGAGGAAGGCTGGGAGTTCCTGGATCTCTCTGCTCGATCTTCAGTGAACACGCCGTCCTCTGCTTTCCACCGTAACTTTTCTACTAGGCTTGTGGAAGGCGGGTGGCTAAGGCTAGCTCCAACAGGACCAAGTCTCTGACCCTGATAACTCCAGTAATCCACTATATGCCACTGGAGAGACCAGAATGTCATGTACCTGCCCTCTGACCTGTCACAATGGCCACTGCGACTTTAAAGGAAGAACCCTTGCTCTGGCAGGCCCGCCTGCATATGCATGGCTGAAAGCAGGCTACAGCTTCTGACAAACTATCCAGAAGCTTGATTGATGTGGAAGGGCATTTAGAGAGGAAATGGTTGCCTCTTTCTTATACCCATCGACTCACTGTGTCTTCACAAAAGGACAGCAAGATGGCTCAGTGGGTAAAGATGCTGTGAGCCTCAGCATCTGCTTTAATACCCTGCTGGGTAGAGTCTTTCAGGGTCTTTCAAAGGCCCTGTGTGGTAGGCTCCTGTCCTGTTCCCTGTTTTTTCCCTCTTCCAATGTCCATCCTGTTTGCCTTTCTGAATGAGGATTGCTCATCTTACCCAGGGTCCTCCTTGATTAGCTTCTTTAGGTGCACAAATTTTAGTAATCTCCTATATTATTTTTATCTGCATTTAGATTATCCTATATTATATATCTAATATCCACTTATAAGTGAGTATACACCATGTGCCTTTCCACTTCTGGGATACCTCACTCAGGATGATTTTTTTCTAGTTCCTTCCATTTGCATGCAAATTTCATGATTTCTTTGTTTTTAATTGCTGAGTAGTATTATATAGGGAATATATATAGTAGTATATATAGGGAATCTTATGAAAGAAAGGGGAGATAGAAAGACCTGGAAGGGACAGGAGCTCCACAAGGAGAACCAAAAAAAAAAATCTGGGCACAGGGATCTTTTCTGAGACTGATACTCCAACCAAGGACCATGCATGGAGATAACCTAGAAGCCCTGCTCAAATGTAGCCCATGGCAGCTCAGTCTCCAAGTGGGTTCCCTAGTAAGGGGAACAGGGACTGTCTCTGACATGAACTCAATGGCTAGCTCTTTGATCACCTCCCCCTGATGGGGGTGCAGCCTTACCAGGCCACAGAGGAAGACAATACAGCCAGTCCTGATGAGACCTGATAGGCTAGGGTAAGATGGAAGGGGAGGAGGACCTCCCTTATCAGTGGACTGGAGAAGGGGCTTGGGAGGAGATGAGGGAGGGAGGGTGGGATTGGGAGGGGATGAGGGAGGGGGCTACAGCTGGGATACACAGTGAATAAATTATAATTACTTTAAAAATAAATTAATTTAAAAAGAAGTTTTCCCTAAAAAAAATAAAAATAAAAAAATAAGATGCTGGCCGAATCCCCAGGCCCCAAATGGTGGAAGGAGAGAACCGGTTCTTGCTCGTCATCTTCTGACCTCCATAGATGTGCCACAGTACAAGTATGTACAAGCACATACAACCAATAATAACACTTAATTTAAAAAGAATAAAATACCAGGGTGTGTTTAAGAAGTCAAGGTAGGTATGCTTTCCTGAAGCTGATGTTTCAAGTTATGTGGATCTTATTTCTTCCTGTGGTTAATAATGTGTGTGGAGGGATATATCTAAATTGTACCCCAGTGTATTTGGACTCCATCTCTCTATCCTGAGGCCAATCCACCATGCCCACAAGTACAGATTCGGCACCCTCTGTGTCCAAGGGGAGAGGAGTGTTCTAGTCATCATACTGATATTATTAAAAGTCTGAGAACATTTCCAAAATTATTGGCTGCTATTCTTTCTCCCTCTTCCTCCTCCCCCCATCCTCCCCCTCCTCCTCCTTCTTTTCTCTTTGGTGGCAGTTGTGGTAATGCTGGGACTCAGACTGTGTCACACTCACAAAGTGTGAGAGCCCCAACTGCAGCTCTCACCTGCTTGGGGGAACAATTTCCTTTATTTTACCTAGCCCCCTGTCAAGAGTCTTAGAGTCCCATGGCGATGTGTAACACGATCCTTGTCCCTACTGTCATAGTGAGAATTTCAGA